AAACTCGACATTTGTGAAAATTCGACCCTAAGAAAAGAAAAGGAATTTCCAACTCCATATTTTCGAGTTTTTGCACACCTCTTGCATTTAGCTTAACGTTGCATTGAGCTACTTCGTACCAAAAGGGTTAACACCGTGAACTTCTTCGGTTTGACCTCTGAAAGAGCACAGTCTTCATCCTCGTGTACTTCTCCTCTCTCTTTCCCATCTTCATTGGCAGGGACAAGCTAAGCCCGTCTCAACCTTATTCGTTTCGTAACAGACACCAGTCATAATAGACAACGCGTACACGCTATTAAGACGTTTACTGTCTCGTAAACCGCTGCACCTCGCTCGGTCGACTGTTATCCAGTGTCGCTCCGACATGACGCTCGGATCACGTTCTTACGTAAAATGTAACTTCGGAAGATCACTTTCTTCTCGAGCGAGATTTTTCACACTCGACCGAGGTTTCGGAATTTCATATATATAATTTCATATAATTTCATTCTGCGGTTTCTTTCGTTCATTCAACTTTCCAGCGAGCCCTGTATTGCCCGGTTAATCCAGTTTTCCAATTTTTGCCTTTCGTTTCGGTGTCCACTGAGAAACATTTGTCACGTAAATTGTTTAACCCGGAAGCTTTTTACTAGAAATATTCGACACTATCCAATCAGACATGGACGACACTATTTGAAACTAATGAGAAATCACACGTAAATTGAGGAAAGCTATTTTATAGAAATATTTCACATATTGATGCATTATACAAAACTTAATATTATATACAACACTTTGTAATTTTCTTATATCAAATGAAATGGTGACTGAGAGTCACCTCTCGAGTGCAAAGGGTTAACTGTATTTCGATAGTATTTGACTGATGATAGTGTAGCTGCATTGTGAATTATCGATAATAATTGACAGTACATATTTCGATATTATTGTAGAATTGGAAAGTGGTTCAATGTTTGTAAAAATCTCTCGGAGAGTGGATATTACGCTGTGAATTTCGAGCGTTTGTATTTGTTTAAGAAAGTAAACTATATGTTTGTATGGTTACATATGTTTATGTTTATATATTTATAACGTATCAGTAACATATATCGTATAAATAATTTCGTTAAAAGTGTCGTTAAATGTTACAGAAATTCTCATCGAGAACGTAATTTCGAACACATGTCTCTTTGATCAAAGAATTTTCGGAAACGTTCACGCATTGCCTATTCTTAGCGTTCTTGCAATATGCAGGTACGAAATACTATTTTACGGGGATCGTATTGATTTCGTAATGTCCGTAATATCATTCTGTTTTAATATTCTCCGTAACGATTCCCGCCATGAAACATGAAATTCAATCCGAATGCGACAGTATTTCATAATGTATGAAACCGTTCCGAAGAGAAAATATTGAAATGTAGAAACGAATTGCAAGAGGCAACTGTAGAGTATATTAGTATATAAGAGGAATGCTACTTTAAAGTCCGTCGCTGTGTCAATGTCAACTATCGTTAAGTACAGATTATCCGACGAAAGGATTGTTTCACAGAAAAATCCTTGAAATCAAAGAATCACACAACAGGAAGGCCCTAAGTATTCAATAATCTATTTATCCAAAATTCATTTGTGAACCCTCTATAGGCCGCATTTTTGTTCGTAACGATAAAAAGATGTACGTAACATAAAATGAAAAAATATCAATCTGTAAATATATATATGGACAATGTATTAAACAGCTTTAATAATTATATTAAAACGAATATACCTTGTAATTTTGAAATTACAATGGCGTTGAACTTCCATGCTCGGGCGTATAAAAGTTTAAATTAATTAAAAAGTTAATCGCTCAATTTCATTCACCACTTTTTTGTGCAAAATGAAATAAATTAACCAGATGCCAATATATTGGTACGTGACTTCAAAGTCACACGGATCTATAGAAGGTTAAACTTCGTGCGAGCCTCTTCCAAAATTGATGACCCTCGTCGAACATGAAGTTCTTAAACTCCGTAACTCCAACTCGGTGTTACAAAAGGGTTAACGCTGAAAATACCAATTCTAGAACGGAACTGCCAAAATATATAGATGATTTCCCAAGAAGCTACGACATACATCAACTTTAACCCTCTCGCGCTAAAGATTACCTATCGATAATAGAAAAGTACATTCGAAAAGAAGCAAATAACATGTAGATCTCTCAGCTTCAATTTCTAAGATGCTCATCACGAGTCCGACATTATAAGACGAGGGGTTAAAGTAGACGGTTATCGTTCCGTGTCGTTCGTAATCCTCCATCTTCCCAGCCCATCGGCGTGTAAACGTCGCCAAGAAGGATCACCGGCTACGTGGGAGGGGCAGGGAGGGTTGGAAAGGAATTCAACCCCCGGAGGGCGAGTAAATCGGTGCGAAGTGGGCGGGTTTGCATGCGGCCCGATACCACGGAACAAGGGAACTTTCAAATTTCTTCCGGCGATAATGGCCGGTTTCCGGGCGGGATTATGACATCGCCACGCCACGCCACGCCACGGAAAATCGCTACGCCAACGGGCATCACGTGAAGATGTTATCGGGGGACAGCCGACCGTGCCACGATAAGAAAATTTTCCCGGCCGACGAATTTCATTATTTCGCTGTTCACGCGCGTTATTGCGAATCGATTCTGGTGGAACGGCACGCGTCACGGTCCACGGTGATGCAGGAAACGAAATCATCGTTCGGAGCTAGTCGTTCATTACTGACCACTCGAATCGATCGTTTTGCATCGCGTTCAACAGTCGAATGATGGTAGATATTTTTCGAAGTAGTACGAGTCGTTTATTATCACGTTTTCTGAGTCTATGGTCGCAGATAGAATGGAAAGTATTGATCAATTTCAACGAGTTTTCAGGTGTTCCTTTTTTAACGGTTAGTTGAGTTCAAAGTAACAGGGATTCTTGTTTTCGGAATTAAAACGTTTCGAAATGAGAACATTGATTTGTAGAATATTATTTATTATTCACTTATTATAATTCATTCGGTTAAGTTAGTGTCGTTAATTTATTATTGATTCTTGTGATTAATTAGTAATGTATTGTTCAATAATCTGTTATTTTGAAAAATGATATTAAATTATTATTCATTTATTATAGTACACATTAGTGTTTCCAAATGAATATTAACTTGATTGTAGTTAAACTGTGTATAAACGGATTTGTTCAGACCTCGACTCACAGATGTCAAATCCCAGCGGGTGTTTAACTAATCCGATACTTCGTCCCAAAATGATCAAGCTCGGCACGGCGAACTCGCCATTCGAACATCACGCCGCCCGGCGAATGTCGGACGCGTCTAACGACGGCGTAGTCTGCCCGTGATTTCCTGAGAGCCCCTGCGGACGACTAATTTATGAAGACTCCAGATCGATGGCGTCGCCGTCTCGAAAATTTAGGTCGTGTCCTCCGCGGGGCGCCTCTTTATCTTTCCGCCGAGACGCTTTGATTATTAGCCATTCATCCGAGACGCGACGCCCGTTAATTGCATTCCCATAATCAAGAAAGTTCCCTTTCACGGCGCACTTTAACGAACCCCGGAGCAGCCTTTTCCCTAGCTAGGGAAAAGTTTCCCTCGCGTGCACAAGACGAGCGAGGAATTTTCGAATCGTATGAATTTTAAATTGGCGAGAGAATCATGGAATTTTTAGATCCTGTAGATCTTAAATCGCCGAGGGAATTCTGAAAGGAATCGTTGGAAAGATTTTTATTAGGCATCAGAGGTGACTCATTAACACGTTGAATGTCACACGATTTCACGGAGCAAAATACACGAAAAGAGAAAAGATATAATATTGAATTATTGAATTGAATGACGTTGTTATTGCACGTTTATCCTGTTGAATGCCGCTGCACTAGGTAATAGTATTTATAATATATGTTTTCAAATAATCACCGTTTAATTCGGTGAATTATAGTGATTTGATTTGGTGGGGGGTCCCCGGCGACCCCTATGGCATTCAATGTGTTAACGAAAGGCTTGTCCCAAGAGTGATATGTTTACATTTATGAGTACCATTTTCTTTTCCTGTACAAAAATGATCTTCTAAGCAGCTGTTAGAGTAATGGATGCCATTTTTATGGATGTCGTCTGTATCGCGTTACTGCCGTACATACAGAAAATATTAGTGACCATCATTTGTCATCTAGCTTATTGTATTGTAGTTATATTATGTATCAAAGTGTATTGTTTTAAATTCTATATTTGTTTCAAAAAGTCGCAGAAAATAGCATATAGTGTTTCTTTACTTTGCACTCGAGAGGTGACTCTCACTCACCATTTGATTTGATGCAGCAAAATTATAATATTTGATATTTAATATTGAACTATGTGTAATGCATCAGTGCGTGAAATATTGGGATAAAAAAGCTTTGTTTCTCAATTTACCTGTGATACCTAATTTCTCTTTGAATTTATTTAAAAAAACATCGTTTTTGTCTAGTTAGAAAATATTAAGTATTTCTAACGAAATACTTCTGAGTGCAAAGGGTTAATATTTGCTATCGGTCTTCAAAACGGTGCGTACAGATCCGAATTCTACTGTTTTCTCGTTCAGGTGAATATTTATCTTTCGCGGAATCGAATATCATCGTTGTTTGCATGACACTTGTTTTCGTTTTCTAACACCTACGTCAGTTTTAAACGTAAAAAACAGTGTAAACGCGGTTCCATCAGATTCCGCGCATCAAGGTGCATAAGTTTTTCAAAATAAATATTTCTTCCCGAAAGTCAGTAGAACATATTTCTCTAATATTTGCTATCCTTCAGTATCGTGTGTCATAAACTGAAGCAAATGTAGAGTAAATCCTAGACACTGTCTTTACAACTTTGTCAAAATCAATATTTACTTCAAAAAGCAAATGGGATACGTTTCACTAACATTTGCTATTGACCTTCAGTGTCATGTGTCATCATAAACTGAGGCTATCCTGGACCTAAACCTAAGACGCTGTCGTTACGGATTGACAATCCCGGCTCGTTCGTTGTCGCAGGTCTGACAAAACGGATCCCAGAGGTATGGCCAGCAGCACGGAGGATTACGGCTCGGAATTGCAGGAGCTGCAGTGGGGCGGCGGCACCGGATCTCACTTCCTGCGCAGCGGTTCTCACTTCCTGAGGAGCGGGACCGGCGGTTGCTACGAAGCCGAGGATCTGGAGCCGGCAGGCAGGCACCATGCTGGCCAGCACAGGGGATATTACAGCCCTCCGGGGACAAGTTACACGATCGTCGAGAGACCGCCGAGCGCCCAGCATTACCATTCGTCGCACACCACACCGTACAGGCACAGGGGACACGCCGCCGCCGCCGGTACCGGCGCCATCTCTCCGGAACAGGTGCTTAGGTACGCCTTCCACGATCCTCTTTTTCTTGGCCCTCGGGTTTAAAGATTTTGCGACGATTTCTTCTTCAAGAATTTTAACCTTTTGCACTGGAGAGGCGACTCTCAGTTGATATAATATGGAAATTATAAAGTCTTGTGTATGATATTAACGCTGCCAATACCAGCGTCGACTATAGTCGACAGGCATATAACAGCATTTGTTCTTTTCTGTCATTGTATTTTAACCAGTTAACTGCCTTTGACAAGTACACACGTGATCTTAAAGCTTGAAATGATACCAATGCTTTCAACGATGAATTATTTATTTTTTCAGATAAACGTGTAATTCTGCTTTATTAGCTTTGGTTTTTCATTAAAATTTACCCTAGGTGCATTCGTCCTGCGTTTGACAAGTGCACACTTTATTTTTTTATTTCATTGCGAACGAGAGATTTTTTAAACTAAACTCTACAGCTATCTGGTTAAAATACAGAGTTATTATTTGTTATTATGGAGAGACAAATAAAGTCTAGAATAAAAATGTTTAATGACGCGGATAACTAGACAATAGTGTAACAAAACCTGTGATGCCAAATTAGTAATGATTATTCCTAATTCATCTTTGTCGTGGAAGAATAAGTGATATTATATAATATCCTCAACATCCAGGTAGCAGTTAATGCGTTAACTTTGTTTTCTTTTGAATATTGTCCGCAGACTGTTTGGTAATGGCGTCTCGGAGCGACGACAGGGCGACCGCAGGACACCGGCGTCGTCGCCAGCGAGCGTCGCGGCGGTCAGGACCTCGTCGTCCTCGTCGTCGCAGCAGCAACAGCAGCAACAGCAACAGCAACAGTCGCAGCAGTCCCAGCCGAACACCGCGAACCCGCCAACCTCGCCGAGCTCTCAGCCGCTCAGCCTGCAGGAGCTCACCGTAAGGACAGTGACCATGACGAGAGATCCGCCGGACTCTCACCATGGCTTTGGGATCTGCGTGAAGGGTGGCAAGGACGCAGGTGAGATCCGAAGTACCTTCAGGCTACCCCCGTCGCCGTACTTCGCGCCTCAAGACCGAGGTATTTTCCGACAGCTGTGACTTTCATTGCCGTTTCACGCCGTTTCACCACGGTCGCGATGCTGCGCTTGCTATTGACGGTTGCGATTGTTATGGAGTTTCATTTTGCTGATTTCGGTGGAGTTCGTGCAGTTCATGTAGAGAAAAACCTTGGGATTGATGAATTAGCTTCGAGGCTGAAGTTCGGAGTTTGGAATTTGGAAGTTGGAATTTGGGAATTTGAAGTTTGCAATTTAGAATTTGAAACTTGGAACTTGGAACCTGGAACTTGGAACTTGGAACTTGGAATTTGGAATTTGAAATTTGAGATTTAATATTTGAAGTTTGACATTTTTATTTGAGTTCTATGAGATGAAATCTTGAGATTCTTAAATTAGTTTCACGATTAACACTTAAATAATTCATAAAATCTTATATTTTGATACTGTGAAATGAAATCTGGTATTGGCGAATGAGTTTTACGGTTGAAATTTGGAAAACCTATAAGTAACGATAGACACAGTAGTTCGATGATTATCTTTTTACTTTAATGCCATAATACAAACCGTTAGTTCAATTAAAATATATAAACCATTTAATACTATGAAACAATAATGAAATGTAACGAAGCGTTTAAGTTTGTCGAGAAATTTATGCTTTTCTATAGGAGTAGTCAAATTTGTCATTTTAACGTCAACAATACTTGAATAATTAATATCATGAATTGATTAAGGGTATCGACGTTGGATCTTGAAATTTGTTTCGAACGTCCATTTTGTCGAAACCTATTACTCTCCCTTTGTACACGTTCAGCAATATCAGTCCTTCGCTTTACTCAACTTTCGACAACTCTAACAATCGCAACCAACAGCCTAGCATCGCGACGCGCACTGTGATCTTCTCTCTCGTATTTCTACCGAGCTCACTTTTTTTCGTTGGCAATCGTGTCACCGACACCCTGTGCTTTCTGTGCTTCAGCACAGCTGCCACGTGTCTCTGATTTCCGGTATTCCCGTTCTCGCGACGTAATTTCCGACGGAGAAGCGGTTTCCTTGGTTTATAGCACACACCAAGAAAATACGCGAGTGCAATAATAAACGTTGCATATCGATTAAAAATTTCTCTTCACATCTCAGTGCAGAATTTTAAGTATTCAACACGTGAAAAGAATTAATAGAATATTAAAATCATTTAACTAGACTTACCTTTTGTACTTTTTTTTAAAAATACGAAATAGTAACGGGTTGATTACTGTAATCATTAATTGGAATGGGAATGATGGGAAAACAGAATCGGCTAGAAGCAAGAACGAGAAAGCGGGAAATCAGGGAATGGCAGGAGAAAAACATGTCTATTTTGAATCATTAAGCGTCATTTCCATTCCAGCTGTACGATCGCCTCGACGGATGAAAGAGCGAACATTCTGATCGCGTTTCTGCTCAACTTTGCCATCCCCACTCTCTTGTTGTGTTTCCCCGCGCGAAAGGAATTCACAGTTTGTTTCGCGCTCATCTATGGCCGGAACGATGATGAAAGGGAAATAATTGAAACCCGCGAGATTCCTATCCGTCTTTTTTTCATCTCTCGTCGACGTTGATTGGACTGCGTTGAATTTCTCTGGAAAAACGCGGAAACTCGAACGGGGCGCCGCAATACCTCGAAACCGTGGACAGCGATCCCACGTATTCGGATGGACGATTAAAACCGCGAAGCAGATTCTTTCCAAATGGTATTGTGTTTTTTCAATCAGTTTAATACCAAACATTTACCTACATTGAAAAATGAGTAATTGCAGGTTGTGTAAAATAAACGGAATCCGTCGCGTATTCGAGCGAGTAATTAATTAGGTGATCGCGTTAAATCATTTTTCCGATTGCAAGCGTCGTTGCAGAATGTTCGAGGAAAGTAAAATTTCTGTGAAATCACGGTTCAGATAACGATCCATGCAAGTATAATCGATGAAAAGAAGAATTTCAAACATCGAGGCGCTTTAATTAAACGTTTTAATCAGTGACGTGCAATTGATTAGTGCCTTATGAATTTACAATCATCTCGGAACGCGCATTAAGTCCCCGTAAATGCATTCAAATTATTTTTCTACGGTGCGCGCGTGTAATCATTGCCCATGTAATATATCATTAAAAAATATAATACAGTGTCGTTATCGATTAAATAATATTGCGAGTTCGAGCAGGCGTCGGATGGAAATAATATGGTAACGGTAATGGCGGCAAGCTTGGAAACTGAAATTCGGTGGAGCAATATTGTACGATCGCGTGAATAACATTCCAAATTTGAACGAAACCGAGCTTAAACAAATCGCACTCGATTATTTATTATCAAAAAACGAATGGCGCGAACCAGATCCAGGAATAATATATTAACAATATCGTGCACGAAACGCAATAAAATTTTATTTATAAAAATTTCATTGTGTTTTGAACAAGAATAAAATTTCAATTTTTAAAAATATACTATAAACATACACCGTTCCAGAATATATGAATTCGATCTACAATAAGAAGCATCGTGGTATTTTATAATTAAACGTTTACAGGTTAACCTCTCAGCTGTAGCGTCCTTTTTATAAGCATCTACGCACATTGTTTCGCTACAATGCCGCAATGACGATTATACTCGTCAAACAGAGAGCATGTGAAGCTGCAGTAAAGTTCAGTCAAATTATAAGGAAATAGCGCTAGCTTTCTTTTAAATCAATAATGTGCTCTTCATTATAAAAAAGAATTTCTATTTCTTCCTGCCGAGTATATTCGTCATTACACAAGAAAGTCCTACTCCTTTATGTCGAGTATACTCGCTATTACAAGAAAAAATTGCCATTTCTACATGATAAGTATATGCACTTATCGTCATACAAAATATTTCCGTATCACCATAACGAGTATACTCATCGTCAAACAAAAAATTCCCATATCTTCACGACGAGTATACTCGTCATTGTAAAAGAAACTACTATTTCCTCCATTATCAAAGAAACATTTCCATATCCTTATGACAAGTATACACATCATTACACAAAAAACACCCATATCTCACGACGAGTATCTCGTCGTGCGCAGCTCAGGGGTTAACAGGTTAATTAATCTTAGCAGCCAGTCGACGACGCGGCGGATAATAGTCATCGCAGTTTGCGCAAACGATTTAAATCCTTCGGCGGAGCCGTGCCGCGGGCGCAAAAACACGGGGCAGCCAGTTCACGGGATTAGCCGAGGCCAATTCGGCGCCGCAAATTGCACCGAATCACTGGCAAATTGTATTTCAAGGGG